TGATTACACCAAAAATTTATCACATGATTATCACACCCATATCACATGATTACACCAAAAATTTAACTTATCAACCAAAACGATAACCCAAGTGAAGTATAACGGTGATTATCACACCCATATAACATTGATATCACATGAGTATCACAATTAATCGATTAAAAGCTTGTCCAAAACGAGTAATTGTGAAAGATACCTATAATAAACTTCTTCTTATTGTTGGATTGTTGCATGCAATAGCTTCTCTTTGATCGATTAGGGTTCTTGGTCGATTAGGGTTGTGTGTTCTTGGTCGATCACGGTTTTTTCGGTCGATCACGGTTGTTTTGCGATTTGATGTTACGACTTCTCCTTGAATTCTTAACCGTTTATTAGATAATGATAATAATGATCATGTAATCATGTTAAAATATTTGATGATATCATTTTCATTATTACCCTTTTAATTTTTAATATTTTTTGAATTTTTTTAAATTTCAATTTTAATTTTAAAAATCTTTTACTTTTATTTTTTATCATAATATGAGGTTATTGGGTTGTTCTCGCGTTCTCGTAAATCACAGGGGTTCTCGTTTTAACCATTCCCTATATATATATATATATATATATATATGTGTGTGTGTGTGTGTGTGAGAGAGAGAGAGAGAGAGAGAGAGAGAGAGAGAGAAATGTTTAAACGAAAACACATTTATTTTACGAGAACGTTATAACACCTGTTTAATAATGTGTGATGCTATATTTTTTCACATATGATACATATGTGATGCTAAATCGAATATGGTCGACCTTTGGCTTGTCCTAGGTTGTATGGCAAGTCGTTTGTACATCTTTAGGCCCCCTCACGTGTATTATCACACGCATGGATGGTCCAATGGTTTTAGATTCCCCTAGCGAAGAGCTAAAAATATGCCTCTAATCCAATAAATATAGAACACCTAATTCTTTTAAGGGCTTTGAAACCTAGTCAAGTTAGGCGACTCATCCTCACGTCGATTTTTATTGGGAAAAAGTGTTACAACAAGAGGGAGATAAACCAAAACCACGAACAACAGAACAAAGATAAGATGACCTAAAACGGTGTTTTCATGCTTTTCGTGAAGCAAAATCATTAATCAATCTATCATAGTAGACATTCGTTAAAAACTTACTTCTGATGCTCAAAATTGCAAACCTGTTAAACCTCTCTCGACTCATGGTAGTCCACAAATATGACTTAAATAACTTTAATTTTGAAAAACTTTTTCTACATATGCTACCGTTACTGGTGCTGTTAACGGGTCATTAGAATTGAGATCACCACCAAGTTCTTTATCAACAATACTTTCCACATTATCATTAGAATTAGTGCTAACAAACTCTTCGGTAGGATTTTCAATGGTGAAGCGTGTTTCAACGATCGAGGCAGTCGATACTTGATAGAGAAAGTCAGAGAAAGCCGACTATTTAAAAAACATTAGAAACGAAACCTACTATTTGATATTACAATTCATCAAATGTGATACTAAATCAGAGATGCAAACGACTTCTGGCATGACCTAGGTCGCTGGACATGTGGTACGCACACGACCAAGACATCAGGTTGAGCTAGGCTAACCCAATTTCAATCCTCTTAATTGACAGTTTATCATAATGGGTTTACATGGGTTGGTTTGGGCAGGTTGAACGGTTTTACCTTGCTTTTTGTACAGCCCTATTTAAAACAATTGATAATCTTGAAGCAAGAACAAAAAAGACTGCAATTACTATTACCTGCAGTGACTTCTAGACTGGAAGATAGATGAGCTTGCAAGCAAGACGAAGGCCAAGTACAGATAGATAATGAGATGTGAAATGCTTTACATTGCCATCAACTGGCAACTGTTTTAAAGGGAATTGCTTCATACATATGGCAATGGCACTGTCAAATCCTGTGAACTTTATATCAAAAACAAATCTCTTTTTTTTGTTAGTAAGTGCTAAAATGTTACAATCCAGAAATCAATTTGGCAAAATAGTTGTTGCACGTGCACATTTTGCCAAATTAAACTAATAACAAAGAGGGTATTGCAGAAATGAAAAACAGAAAGGATGAAGTTACATTTATGCTTACAACAACTGTTGCCACCCTTCATTACCTTATCAAGTTACATTCTTGGTCTTCAAAATTGATTGTTGATAGGCGTCTTTTATCCCCGTAAGTGTTTACCGAGTAAGGAGTTGTTTGGTTGGTTTTTCATCAAGTCTTGTATGGATAAAGTATTAATCTGTATGTATAGATTGAGATGGTTCTTGTTTGGGAGGCTTTTTATTAATTAAATTATCGTGCTTTTTAATTGGGAGGGCTAGTGTGGAAAAAACTTGGCTTTTTGCATTAAGCTCCTCCTACAAGCTTACTGAATGAGTCACTTTCTATGTTATTAAATCACTACCAAACAGTTATATATAGTTGATTGAATAAGATGTGAATCTCATTAAACTCATTAAGCTACTAACAAATAGACCCTAAGAATCTTGTCCTAAAAGATAAGATTATTGGTCTTTGCTATGCCCACTCGCTAAGACAAGTGACACCCAATAGGTGTTAGGTAAACGGCCATACAATACGCATTTCATTTCAGATATAACAAATTTTGATCATTTTGTTATTAAAAACTTTGGATCCAGTCCAAGGAGTAGCATTAATCGGCATCGTTGTTTAGTATAATAGCCACACTAAGATAACATATACACACAAAAGTGCAAAACATATGAAACTAACAATTGGAGGGGGTAACATTTGGGGTTCAGGTTTCCAGTGCCTCAAGAAGAAAAGAGGGTGAACATACATGATTTTAATGGTAGCAGAAGCATCAAAACTAAACCAATTTAAAATCTTTCACAGGATACAATCAAGGATTCATCTTTCTAAGATGGAGTCCACTGTTTGCTTCAATTCTTGTCATTCTTTAAACTCTTTGTGAAATCAAACCCAGATTGAAAAGAAAAGAAAAGAAAATGTTTGATTTATTCCAATTTCAAATCCACAATTCCAGAATCTTAAATCTTCCATTAAAGGAAGGAGTTATTGTAGGAGATTTATCAACAAATTGGGCTTCCAAATTCAAAATTCTCTCTTCCCTAATTTCAGAAACAGAGAACTGCTAGTAACTTTATTATATATGATCTAGAGATTGTTGTTAGATTCAAGAACAAGGCATCTGTAAAGATAAAACAAAGTATAAAGATAAAACAAAGTATACTTGATAAGATAATAGAAACTTCATATAATTATCCAGAAGCATATGAAATGCAGCAAGCATAATTGCCAAATTTTATGCACAAAAAACCAGCATAAATTACACTAGACGAGTACTAGCATATCCGACTATATTGAAACAGACTCGCCATTGATGGATTACCCAAAAAGAAAACCATATGCCTCACCTTACTCTACTTTCTATTTATATTTTAACGACTGCAAAAGCTTTTAGACAAAAACTTCAACTTCTCAGTCCAAAGGCAGCAGGTAACAAACTAGGAGAAATCAAAATTCAGTCAAGGAAACCTGTTTTACGCCACACCGCATTGCGAACTAATCGAAGATCCCTCCCTTTTAGTGTTCTTCCAGCGCCTTCGAGAACGGAAAAGGTTGTATGCGGCGAGTTGGACGAACCTCTTGCTACGATCTCATGTGGAGGAAGCATCTCTTCTTCATCATCTTCTCCAATCTCAACATCAGCAAGTTCTCCGCCGGTTCTCGGCTTCCTCGCAAACATCGGAACATTCACTGGAGCCGATTGCTGAAACTTCAGCGGCATAGACTGAGAGAAATCTCTCTCTTGCTTATGAGGCCTAGGAATCCCCGGAATTAAACGCGATGACGACGAAGCAGGGGTTGTCGGAGAAGAAATGGTAGGGTTTCTTCGGTTCAAAACAGGGCGATTGTTAGGTTTACGGCCGTTATCTTCCGGCAATGCGGCGAGAATGCCAAACTTATCCTGGTGACGAAACGACTGATGGTTAGCGCTAGGGTTCCAGTTGTTTCCCTTGACCGGATCTCCCGGTTGGCGCTTCTGTTCCGCGAAGTCCCCCGTCCAGAACACATCATCCTCACTGAAATCATCGCCGGCCACAGACGATCCACCGGAGATGACGACGGACGAAGAAGGTGGCGAGAAAACACCAAGGAACCGATCGGAAGAGGGTGACCGGCGGTGACGGTAGCTAGCAACGCCGTTCGGCTCCATCAGATTATATTAGATATACACTATGAATGCACTCTTGACTCGGGGATTATATCGTTGCAGAAAGGCAATTATCGGGTACGACGAGCCCATGATTAATCTCAACATGTATTATGAATCGACGGTTAGGATTGAGTGGGACCACCGAGATCTGTGGCTTTTGGCGTCGGATGATATCACGAGGATTTAAGTTGTTACAAGGATGAGGTGGCGTGTGGACGCCAGGGGATGGAAGACGTGATTATAAGACCACCCACACAGGGCTTTCATATGAATTGCAATTTGAATTGCAAATACAATTTTGAATGTGATTGCTGCCATGTAGGATTTGGAATTGCAAAATTTGCAATTCCATTTGAAAGCCACGTGGGCACACATCCTCTCCAATTTCTTTTTGTTTTTTCTAATTATTTAAATAAATTAATTTTTATAATATTAATA